GAAAGGAGGGCTTTGCTGAATGTAGATGTGGGAGATGCTGTGATTCAAATAACCCAGCTTTAGGATGGTTAACAGAAATGGTTCAGAATGTTTTGCTACCAGCTTCGGTGTTTTATATACACAAACTGTTAAAGTGCTTTTCTTGGTTTTTGAATGGTGGATGCAGATGTGGAGCTGGCCAGCCCCAGAGGCAAAGTTTGTAAACAGAATGGATAACAACTGAGAACTTCTTGGCCCTTCTGTGACAAGAAAGCAAAGTTCTGATTGCAGTGATGTAATCCCTGGCTAATTTGGGCAGAACGTGGGATCTCTCTTAACAACTAAGTTTCCATCTCACCAGAAGCATTGCGTTTTTGTTCCCATCTTGTCCTTAACATCCTTCTTGGAGTATAAGTTGTCAACACAGTATCTACTTCACCTTATGTATGCACTAAAAATATATATATATACAATGTAGCTGTTGGCTGCTTTTGCTCTTAAGCTGCATTCAGTTCTTGTGCTATGCAGTTTTTACATGATATTTTGCTATATAAATGTTAGAAATGCAGCATTTTTCTTCTCCCTGCCTCTTCTCTGGCACACTTACTGGCTATTGTGTGAGCTTTGAAACATGGCACTATATGCCTACTTCATTAATATGATTTTTCAGTCTTATGGTAGTGTTTGCCTTTAAGGAAAAGGGCTGAAGTGTGACTGAAACAAGCTATGTGCAGCAATACAAGTTAGAAAACATTTCCATAAATAATCATAAAAAAAAAAAAAATCTACAGTAGTTACCACAAGGAGCCAGAGAGAACAGTTTATTGTTGTTTGGACCTACTGGAGCAAGTTATTTAACTTTTCATGGGCGTTTTATAATGACAAGCTTGTAGAAGAATAGTGTATCTGTGTCAGTTCCCTCTGCAAAGCTGGCTGGACACTCGCTTTACTTTGTGCTTAACCAAATATTTGTCTTGGAAGAAAAGAATTTAGCAGCACACAAAAGATACGCTGTTTGAAAAGGTGCAAAAAATTACTGAAATAGGAATGTTTGCTTTTTTTCTTTTCCAGTTTCTTTCATAGCCTCCCAGAAACACACTTGAGCTACTATAGGAATCTGAGCAAGGAGCCTAGGAAATGCTGAGGAGCACAAGCTGATCAACTCCAAGTTGGTATCAGCAGCAAGCTCCGAACCCGTAGGTCACTCTAACCTTGTCTCCCATTTCTTTGGCTAGTGAGAGAATGTGAAAAGACAAACCATGTCCTTGTGGTTATTGTAGCCCCCTCAGCTTGCCTAGGCAGCAGCACACTTTTAGAATGCTCTTGCATGAGTTCTTCAGTCATTGGAGTCAATGGCAGTGCTCACTGCTGACTGGCTCCTCATGGTGAGCCCAGTCCCTTTGCCACTGGGGTCTCTTACTGTGCTGATTACAGAGCTGGTGCTTGTCTGCCTGCTCCATTCTCTATGGCCTTCTGCTGTGGATCCATTAATTTTATTCTTTAAATGCCTGTAAGATCCCAAACATTTAGGTGTCCAGTCAACTAAGCCAATTGCCCATAGCATTTCAATTTAGTTTTTGCATCCCAGTTTACATGGTTTTCCTTATGTTGGCACTGAGTTTTCTATATAAGCACTTTACTGCAACAAATCTCCATTATTTTAAGAATAATGTTCTCTTAGGAGACAAAGTCACAGTGATTTTGCTCACTCCGTAATATGAAATAGTAATTCTGAAATATAATTGGTGATGGGACAACATTTACTTGTTTCATCAGTCTGATAATCCTTGCTATGAAAACTGCACTTAAGACAAACAGCCAAACTTTAAATTGACTCTTTCCCTATTGACTGTCTTCTAAATGCTCCTTTTTCAACTTTGGGTCTGTGGCTACTAAAGGGTTTTTTTTAACTGCATATTTCTTATTTCTGTTGCTCTGCAAGTGAAGATGAACGAGGAGAGTTCATGTTTGACAGCAAAGATGTATTTATTTAAACTTGTAAGTTACTGAGTTACCAGGTGAAACCCATGCTGGGTTGGCATCCAAAGCGTCTGAATGGCTTCCTTTGCCTGTGCAGCCTTGCAGTTTTATTGCAGCTTTTTAAAGGTGTGCATGTGCTTTTACTCAGTTGTCTTTCTGCCCTCTCTTTCCAATTATAATCCTTAGCATTGTCATCTTCTCTCACTTTTGTTTGAACTTCTTTCCTGGTGTCCTTGTCGCTGTGATGGCTTCTTTATGGCAACTGAAATTAATTTGCACCAAAGAAAGAATCTTGCTGTTTCACATATATGGTTTTTACAAGATTGAAGCTTATGTAATTCAATTTGAAATTAAAATTAGAAAAGTATGACTTTGTGGAAGGAATTTCAATTGTGCCTGTGTGACAGGTTGATTTATTTTACATAAACACCAGCTTTTGACTGCATTTCTTTCATGGTTCGTTGGATTGTTTTTTGGGTTTTGTTCATAATAATCCTGCAGTCATAAAAATGAGTTTGTCACATGAGAAAATGAATCTCATGTATAGTTGAGCTTAAGTACACATGTAGACAAGGTGTACTCTTAAGTTACAATGGGTGTTGTGGTTTTGGCAGTGTGAGGGGAGAGTATGGGTTGAGATGACAACAGCAGAGGTCAGCACATCTAAAATAGCTGTTATTTTCCCACTTTGTGTGTGAATTAAATTCTTCTTTATCAAATGAAACGCTTCATTTGATTCACAATTTCCTGAAGCTTTCTTGACTTTGATTAAGAAACCGATCTGACCTGAGAACTTCAACAAATATAAAGGGATGAACTAATCTGTAATAAAACTTGCAGTGTTTCATTCCACTAAGCCTGTGGTACAAATTCAAGTGCAGTAAATTCTTTTTCTAGCCACCAGTGGAGACAGTTGCAAGCAGAAGTTATGCTTGGAACACTTGGAACGTCCCCCCCTACCCAATGTGGGGCCTGGAGAATCCATACAGCTATTTGAAAAGTGTTGTTGGCTCGGTTCTCTCACCCATAGGGTTTGACTTGCACTATAAAGCTAAAGTTACAGATTAAGAACTATTGGGGGTCTTCTGACATCAAAATGAATAACACATGGCTTATTCTTCTGGTGCCTGCACATTCTAAAGGCATTGGCTGTAGTGACTGATGCACGAGCACCGGAGGAATTTGTAAATGTCTGTTCTTTATTTATGGGAGCACAACTCGATAATTCAAATTTTGAGTTACTTTTCTTCTCCTCAAATACTGTCTATGGCTTCTTCCCATTGTGCTCTCTGTCCCTATCCAGCAAATCATAAAAAATTTTGGAACTGAAGATATTGCAACAACTTGTTTTTCTAAACTTGGTAATTTAGGGTATCCACTGCTCTGTGATGAACACATCTAAAACTGCCAATTATGGAAAATGCACATTACGTTGTTTTCAGTAGCAGCTCAGTAGAAATTCTGTGTTTATCCCAAAAGTTTATCATTTATTCATAGGTCAGCTAGAATATTACTGTGTATCTGAGGGGGAAAGCTTTAGTCTGACTCTGTGAAGCCCTGATTCTTTTAGCATCAGCGCTGGAATACCTTTCAGTGCATCCGAGAGGACATTAAAGTTCTCTTTGAACTAGATTGGGAATGGTCCACTTAATGTTAGCAGATCCATATATATACCAGAGGCTGTGTTTTTGTTAATAAAACCTGACTTATAGCACTTTTGGAAGAAAAGAAGTAGTTATAACTACTTAGGTTGTATATGGGTCTCTGTCCTAGGTCAGCTATTTGTAGTATTGGCACTTCTTAGTGTTGCTTGTTTCTTCTTGTCCCTTGCATGGGGAGAAGTGAGCAGTCTGGGTGGCTGAGGCTGATGCGGGTGTCCAGGACCACATCCAGGTGGGTTTGAGGTCTCCTCTTTGCAGATCTCCATCCAGAGCCTCTCTGGGTACCTGTGCCAGGGCTTCAGTACTCACGCAGTACAGCTTCCTGCTGGTGAAATGCTTGGCAAGTAGTCCCCTGCCTTTTGATGCAACTCTTTAAGAAGAAAACTCTTCTCTCATTCAGCTGAGGAATTTGTAGGATTCTTGACCAAAAAATCTTGTCATTAGTTTTCTTGTGGGTATCATTATATTCTTTTTATCAAGCTGAACATTTCAAGTTCCTGTCTATTATTCTTTACAGTTTGTTAACCACTGACTTATTAAATCACTCAGCTCGTTACAGGAGGGGAGGGAACTGTGTAACACAAACTTAGCTGTTTAACGAAGGAATGTTTTGGGGTTAAATACATACCAGAACTTTGTAATATCTTTTAATATGTTTTATATGGAGTCTACTAGTAAGGAAGTATTTGTATCAAATATGTAAATGCTGGTGAGTAAACAGCTATTATATTTTACTGCTCTTAGAATCTTGAACGAGCTCCAGTTCATTAAAAGCTTGCTATTGTTTGATTATTTGTAGCACAACATTTCATACTGAGTAAAGAATCTAGTCTTGAAAATATTTGCACTTTCAGGAAGTTGATTTCTTTTTGTTTTTCCCTTCCAACTTTAAATTTGATCAGACTTGCTTCTGACTGTGTTTGCAAATAGCCTTGATTAATCTGTATCACAGACGTGATGGCCCTAAGCCCCATCCTTTAGAGATGGGACATGCACTATGGAACTGTGGGAAAGAGCTTCCTGTTGCAGGAGATTCCATAGAAAAGCAATGTGTAATTTAGAATAAATGACAGGTCTGTGTTACAGGGTATAATTCTCTCTCATCTCACTTCTGAATATCTTCTATCTTATAGAAGTTAAGTGACTTGTGAACAAGAAAATATCTAATTATCCAAAACAGAAGGTGGGAATTTGTTGGGAAACTTTATTTCAATTCCTAAAATCTGTTGTGTTTTTTTTTTTGTAATTTTAGTGCTTTGAGATCGTATGCTTGTCTGAGCTGCAATGTATCCTGAAGTATTACTAATATTCTTGTTTTTCTACTTTGCATATTTGGACCGTCTTCTGGGGCACATTTTTGATGTATCTACCTTGATGCAGTTCACACGATTCCTCTGTGATTCTCCCCTTGAGGTAAGCATTAATTCTAGACACGAGCTGTGAAGTGAACGTGTTCTTTCCTTTTTATTTGCTGTAATTGGTGCATCGTGGGTATAGATGGCATAGGAGGGCGCCACGGTGTTGTATCATCAGCAGCCAGTAAGGAAGGTAACACTGAATCTGTAAAGGAGTTTGAGGAGCTGAATAATGAGCTACCCTGAATTTCATATCACTGCAGTAGGAAAAAGAACAAAAAAAAAGGCAGGAATTACTGTACTCTTATGTTCTTTTCTTTAAAAGAAATATTACTAAGTAATTTACTGACCTTGTATTTGACTTCAGTCTGAGTTAAAAGTTGAGGAGAGATGCTGCTGTTTCTTTTCCAACAAGCAAACTGTTGTAGATCTGTTTCACTGTCTTTCTTGTTAGTCTTAAAGAGTTAAGTACGGCGTGACTGTAATGAAATTGTCAGGTTATAGTAATTACGCCGGTAATGCGATATGTCGCAGTTTGAATGAATCCATGTGTGGAGAGTTTGTTGCTTTTACTCTGCTGAGTCCACTGGCCTTTGCATTCCTGAAAGCTGAAGAGTAATAGAGCTCATTAGGCTTTATAGGAAAAGGGCTTTTATCACCTCGTCAACTCAGGCAGCAGACTGCTATTATATTCTTAATTTTGTATGGCTACGTAGATGTTGATGCACGCTTCCCCGCCAGGTTTATGCCAGTATTGTTTCTTACAGACACTTTTTATTGACATTTTGAAGCTTGAATTAAATTTTGTGTGGCACCACTACAGATGTCTTCAATTAGATGAAGTTAAATAAAAGGGGTTTTGTATCAGAGGCCAAGAGATTCTTGAAATTCTTTATTCTGAAACAGTTGCCACAAGAAAATCTAGTAGTGAGCAGTCTGTTTACTCTTTGGAACAAAAATAATTTAGAATCAATTTTAAGCCTTACACGATTTCAATTTGTAATTTAAAAAAAAAAAAAAAATTAATATCATTATTAACTGCAAATAAGTATTGATGCCCGAACTCTTCCTGTCTTTATTTCTTCATTTTGCTGCTGTGTTTAGTTTCACTTTTGGCTATGGGCTCTGGCATAAAGAAAAATGAATAGTTTTAAAAAATGATACAGTATGTAGTAGGAGGAAACCAGGCAATTTTCTAGCAGTAAACAGGGTACAGTAGAGAACTGATTTTGTTTTTTGTTTGGCGTTCCTTTCCTCTTAGAAGCTATATCTGAATATTTGTCTTTTACCCCAGTGGTTCAGCACAGGAGAATGGCTTACCATTGGAATCACTGGATGGTTGGGTTGGAAGGGACCTTAGAGTCCATCCAGTTCCAATCCTCTGGATGGTTTTCTGGAGGTTGGTGGCCCTGCCATGGCAGGGGGTTGGCACTTGATGATCCTTAGGGTCATCATTCTACAATTCTCTGCCATGGTCTGACTGTCCCTCACTACAACAGGCTGCCCAGGCCCCATCTAGCCTGGCCTTGAGCATCTTGCAGGGCTCCCTACAAAAAAACCAGCATGACTAATCACCCTTTGTTTTGGATGTGCATATAGCAATGTGTTTTTTTTAGTGCACTTCATGTGGTATTTATGAATGCTTGTTATTTCTACTGTCTCTTTAATCACTCAGCATTGCGGGATCTCTCTGTGCATCTTTGCACTCAGCTCGTGCTGGCACAGTCTGTGGCAGTGTTGAAGCATGCTTGTAATAGAGAAGTTTTCTTGTTCAGAGTGAATTTTGTCTGTTTTTTATGTAGAGCCCATTGCTTCCTGTCCTGTCAGTGGGCACTAGTGAGAAGAGTCTGGCTCCCTCATCTTCATTCCCTCCTGTCAGGTGTCATACATATAAACAAAACCTTCCCCTGGGTCATCTGATTTTGATGCTGAAGGATCTCAGCTCTCTCCTTGTGCATCAGATGCTCCAGTCCTTAATCATTTTTATGGCCCTTCACAAGTCAGTCTGCATTTCCCTGTATAGAACCCAGTGTTCCAGTTGCATTTTACCAGCGTGGCATAGGGAGGGGGGAAGTATGCAACAGAGCTACCAACACCTCCCTTGAGCTGCTGGTGCTGTAGGTACTGTTTTGATTTGAGGGTGCATTGCTGGGTTTTCTTTTATTCTTATTTTTTTTCCCCTCTTGTTTGGATGGAAGCCTGTAGTGCTACATCTCTGCTGACACGGCCTATATTTGTAGGCTGCATCTCCACTAATCCCTAATGAAAGGAGGAGACAGTGGTGAACTGGAGATATGTTAATAGCCAAGTAAGGTAGAAAACTACCATATGGTAGGTTTTGTGTGTGTGCCTTTGGGAGAAGAACTGCTGGAATTTATCACTTCACGTTGGCAAATAATTTCCACTTGAGGTAGAAATCAAGAGCTTCCTGGTTGCTTTTTCATAATTTTTCTCTGTGTAGGGTAACATGGATTTGACAGTTTTTTTTTTTTTTTTCCTTCTTCCATCCACAGCAGAGAGTAAAATGGAAATGTTCCAAGTAGCAGATTTCATGAAACCTTCCAGAGAAAAACTATCATGTAGTTATCAGGATTAAGACACATTTTCATGGAGGATGGTACAGTGCCTTCTGTAGTTGCACACCAGTCTGGGTTAGGGTTAACTAGTCTAATTTCTGTATTAATAACACTGAAATGTATTAGAAGTAAAGTGAAAGACCAATGTGATTTGAAGAAAATTGAGTGCTCTCACCATCATTGAAGTTTCATTATAAGCACTTATTACATTGAATTGTATTAATTAGGGCAACATGTAATGCCAGACAGTATTAAATATTTAAATGTTAATAACGTATTATAAATTATGATCAATCACCCATTCATGAAGAAAATATGGGGCAGAAATAGCTATGAAAACTAGAGAGTATTAATAGTTCCTAATATAGCACATTTAATTGTGCCTTGAGTCGTATAGCCTGAGTTTTAGTTCTAGTTTTAGTGTTTAGTCCTTTCATTATATGCATTAAATAAGTTATATGAATATAAACAAAACAGTTAATTTCAAACGTTTGTACTTTATGTATGTTCTGTAGGATAGTGGGGTTTTTGTTTCAGATGACAAGCAGCACCTACCATTTGATCATTAATTGCGTGAGGAAGTAAGAGGATATTGGTTTTGATCTCTTTCTATGTAACATCTCTCACGTTTCATTTGTTGATTCATTACTCAGAGAAATGGTGATGTTCTCAGTGGCAAGAGCAGCTCGTGTTTTTGTAGTATAAAGGTAATGTGTTATTTTGTGTTGATAAGGGCTCCCTTCTCTGCTGGGACTCAACTGCGTGATGTCCCGTGTATATTTTACATAGCCTTTGACAGTCATGGTCCCCTGTGGCTGTATCAGCAATGTGAAATGGTATAACCTGCTCATAGGGAGGATTTCCTATGCTGGGCCTGTTACATGTCTAATGGCCTGGATGGTATGTGAGAAATCAAGGCAAAGGAGCCAAGTATTCATTGAGAAATTGGAGAAAACATAGTACTTACCAATGCTACAAAGGATTATATTGTATGAAAACTTCTCAAGGAGGAGAATGTGCTTTTTAAAAACGTTATTTACTTTATGTAACAGATCCCTGAACATTTTGCCTGAAATGAGTACTGTGCTTGTTATCCTTGCTAAAGAACACAGCCTCTTTTATGTTTGTGGATTTCTTTGTAATTGAGTTAATGGAATAATGCTGCAGTTCATGCCTTACTGAAAGTTCTTCACTGAGCTGATGCTGCAGTTGGCAGATGTGACTGAACCCATGCAGTGCAATTCCAAGGTTGAGCTCCCGTGCACACAGCAATCTTTTACCTGTAGAAGAAAATCTTTTCCATGTTATTGCAGGCAATCTTTCATCACATTTATTAATTTCTATACAATTAATTTTTGAAAAAGAAATGTGACCTGTTTTATCTGGTTATTTAAATCAGTCTTTGTTAGGTTACAAGTGACATTTTCCCTAGGATTTCTTCCTTTTTTTCAGTCACCTGCTGCACTGTGGTGGTTAAGAACTTAACCTGGTCTCTTAAGGTTACTCCTAAAGAAAATCTCTTTATTCCAAGCTCTCAAACTCTGACTGTGTCCCAGCTTTAAAACTTTAATACTGGCCGTGTGATTTCATTTGGCTCTACTGAAAAGTTGAGGATATTGTATGAAGCAGTGATTACCAAATGCGTAGGCTTCTCTTAAACGAAAAGAACCTCAGCTTCATGTATCAGTATTCCCCACTAATATCCTAAGATTCTACAGGTTTAGCTCTCAAATATTTGATCATTTCACTCGTATCTTCAGCTACATATCTAGTTTTATGCTATGTGAATGAATAAAAATGTAAATGCCTTATTGTACAGCCTTTATTTTAGGACTTATTGGTTGGGTAAGTCAGTCGAAATGATTTTTGTCCAAGTGATTGATTTCTTTTGACACACATGGTAACAATTAGAATAACTTCTACTGCCCGTCATCTCTTCAGTCTACGCTACTGTATCAAAATACTTGATTAAACCCTCCTCCTGCTGTTGTAATGCAGAACAGTTGGTAATAGCAGGTAGTATTGTCAGATTTATTGAGTGAGAAGCTGCTTTTTGAAGATCTGGCAATACAGTGAAAAACACAACTAGGTGGATAATTAAATTCAGCACTGCGAAATTCAGGATTAAAGTATCTTAATGTTGGAGGAAAAGGCATGCTGGAGTTGATTGCACAATACAATTTAAATTAGGAGATAATTTTCTTTGTAATTTGAGGCATCCTGGTTTAGGTGCTTCTACCCAGTGTGGAAGTGTACTTTGCTGTGTGTTCAAAGCCCAGTGCACATCAGCAGTGGTTTGGCAGGAGCTGCTCTCTGTGGGCTGACAGCAAGAATCTCCAAGTTCTGAGGCAACAGAGAGCTCCAGGCTTTTAGATAAAAGTTCTTTAGTTGGTTGTAAAGAGTAAATCCTACATAGTGAGCTGATAAGTGCTTTTTATAAACCTATTCTCAAAGAATCTCAGTGGCTGCACTGAAAAACTGAACTTCTGTGACCAAAGGCTGATCATGGATACGCAACCAAGATGGAGCAGAGCAGGCTGAGGGGAGCCCTCATGGCAGCCCACAGATCCTCACAGGGTAAAGAGGGGCAGCAATAAGCTCTGCTCCATGGTGTCTGTGACAGGGCCTGAGGGATGGCATGGAGGTGAGGTTTAGGGAAAAGCTCTGCCCCAGAGAGCAGTGGTTATGGCCCTGAGCTGCCAGAGCTCAGAGGAGTGCTGGGACACCACTCTCAGACATTGGGTTTGGGTGATGCTTTGTGGAGCTGGGGTTGGACTCGATGGTCCTAATGGGTCCCTGCCCACTTGGGTTATTCTGTGACTCTACAATCCTATTCTACAGTAACAGTCAAAAACAATACAGAGAATTAATAGCTTCCCCTGTTTCTCAGATTTTTGATTTCCTTTCTCTAAGCGTGCATAGCAGGAAAGACTTCTCACAGTATTTTCTTTTAAAATCCCTAAAATTGTTGGTTTTTTTATGCTGGAAATCTACCAGTCTGATAATGATATCCTGTTTTTCCTCAGGCAGAGAATCCACCAAATGGACCAGACTGTGGCTATGGCTCTTTTCACCAGCAGTACTGGCTGGATGGGAAGATAATAGCTGTGGGTGTCATTGATATCCTGCCCTACTGCGTGTCCTCTGTCTATCTGTACTATGATCCAGACTATTCCTTCTTATCTTTGGGAGTTTACTCTGCATTACGGTAAGAGGATTTTTATCTTCTGATTAGACATAATAGTAAGAATTGACACTTTTTCCTAAATTGAGACTTGATTTCCATTCTAAACATATGCTGCTAACACTGTCTCTAGCAAAAATTATTTTTTAAGTTCTCAGCAGTTGCATGCTTATCTAAATATGTCCTAAATTTTCTAATCTTTCTAATTATTTTCTACTCTTTCTAATTAGTGAAATACGTTTAAAGATTTAAGAAGTCTGAAAAACTCAGAAAGGAAGTACCTAGTCTTTATTCTCTAGAAAATAATTTAGTATTGCTTGATTTCAGCAGAGAAAAGCCTCTTTTTTTGTTTGGATGGAAATAATTCTTCCTTTACCTTAGCTTAGTCACCAAATGAAATTAATCACTTTTATACTTGTGTGCACAGTGAGATTGTAAAAACTGTCTTCTGAATTAGTGGTTTCTTGCTATACTAGTTCTGAGTGTATTTCCAGGTATGATAATCTCATTACCTTTTGTCTGACAGACAGTAATCCTGTGAATTTTGAAGCCTCAGGTAAACTGTCAACATATTTGAGCGTATTCCTCTCTTTGTAGAGGTGAATTTTGTGATTTGTGAATAATCTACTTATGAATTACACAAATGCATCTATCAAGAGCAGTCTCACTCAGTTCACTGCTCAGTTGCTGACATCAGTCTAATGGTTTGCTCCTGCTGAAATGAAATCACTGCAATCACTCCTCCCTATCTACCATGTATGATTGCTAGAAGCAATCACACTTTTAGCCAGGTTAGTTTACTGAGTAGAAGACTTTGCTTCAGCAGCCTGGTTAGTGAGCTGAGTTTCTTCTCAATGAAGAAGCTGTTAGTACTGGAGCTGGTGCAAGAGCTATGGTGGAGCCATGAAGCTGAGAATGGCTGGACAAAGTGCAGAACCTCCCACTCTGGTAAGCTTCTAGGTGGGTTAAGCTCTATGAGCAGTTTCTCCCGTTGCTTTTGGCAAGAGCTGATAACACTGCCTTCGTTGGCTTTCCTCACCTTGTTCTGGAGATTTTCTTTATGAAGGAGAAACTGTAGGATCATAGAAAAGTTTAGGCAGGAAAGGGCTTCTGGGCATCTCTGGTCTGGTCCTGGATCAGATCAGGGGTAACTTCCGTGTTGTCATGTGCATTCGTGTAACTGTCAGTTACATTGATGTGTAGCATCTCATTTGGTCTGTAGTTAAGTGTCTGAGTTACCTTTTTTCTGAATCAGAAATAACAGGTAGATAACACTGGGATGACTGTGCTGTAGAAGTGATCTTTGTTTCCATTAGTGGTCTGGATTTTAATGCAAACACTTGATACTTAAAATTAGTCTTATTTTTTAACGCAAATTGCCATAAGCAAATTCTAAGAGTTTTTCAGTACCTTTATGTATCACATTATTTTATGTAATAATAGACTGACATAATCCATGCTTATGAATTCTTGAAATGATTTAAAATTTTCTACCTAATAAATTTAAAGCTTTGCCAGTGCAGCATGCTTGTATGGCTCAACTCGTGCAAAAGCAGCTTGTAAATTCTGCTGCATTTAAGGCAATAAAAACGAGTTTTCAGTAGGCTTGGAGGGGGGGCAGTCTTGTTCCCTTTTCAAAAAAGGGGAAAAAAGCCCTTAAGAGTTGGGGAGGATTTAGGAAGTTGCAAAGGAATCTGATACTTTAAAAGCTGTTGCCAATTTTACTCTGATGAGGTTAAACTGCATTGCAATGCTATGGCTTCCACTTCATGCTCTTCTGAGAATTTTTGCTTCTGAGTCATAGAAAGGATGCAGTTTGAACATCTTTTGAAATAAGGAGGCATTTGAGTACAGAATGAGAGGAGAGGAGGCTACATGTAATATATGAGTCTGAGGAAGGGTTGGGAGAAGCTGACCAGGACACATGAAATGATTCTTATTGTCATTTTTAGGAAAATGTTCAGCATTCCCCCTGCTACCTACAATCATTAGCAGTAGGTAACCATAATATTCATAATCTATCTGTTTTAAGACAAAAAAAATGCTTAAAGTTCTTTTGGAATTGGGTTATTTAGCACTGAAATACTGAGTTTTGCATTGATGTGTTCCTATTGCTCACTAGTTGCCTATTCTTGCCAAGCATTAACAGCCATTATAATTCCTTAAACATGTATCTTAACTGAAAGCCTTATTTTAAAAAGCTTAGTCTATAACCCCTTTTCCAGGAGAATGATTTAGGCAGGAAAAAATGCAGGAAGGTGTGAGTTGTGCAGTGTAGTGCTGCACTGCTGCTGCCAGGTTGGTGTGATGGAAGAGTCTTTTCTTGTGTTAGGTCTCAGTTTGGTTCTGCAGTGGTGCAATTCCCATTCCTGTGCAGCACTGCAGTTCCCTCCTGGTTTTGGGAACCATAGGTTTGCACATGGTCAGTTGGTCAGTGACCTAGGGAGCAAGAAAAGAATCTGAAAAGAAGGTCAAATTGTACTCCGTGAAGCCCTGGAGGTGGGAGACAGAAGCATGCTTTTTTGTTCCCCAGTATTGCTTGTCATTCCTGAAGTGTATTTCTTCACTGCCATTTATGTGAAGACACCTGCAGTAATTCTAAGCATGGTATCGCTGCTGTCATGCATTAATTTGCTGTGACCCCCCAGCAAACTTGCAGCAGACAACAGAGCTGCCTGTAGGACTGCTACTGCAACCCAACCTCATTGCCTTATGGTCAGCCAACATAGAACAATTGCAAAGAGTGTCGAAGGTATTTACAAATGCCAAGAATGCTCTTTTCCTGTAGTCATCCAGGATTGTACAATTGCACAAATGTATATATTTAATTAGATCTGGGATAATTGGTTTGGAGTGGTAAGGATGTTTGACTTCATGCTATGTGTTAAAAGATGTTGTATGTGACGTGCATTTTGGTACACTTTTGGCAGTATATAAACCTCACTTTTGCAATCTGTTCTATTTACCTGGGTTTTCAGATAGGAAGTAACTTGGAGATATTTTCCTTTTTCAGCAGATACAGTATAGATTTATAATGTACTCCAGTGGTCTCAGCAAAGTACATGGAACTGAAATGTCAGATTTTCAGCATATTTAAACGTTCTCATTACTATCATAATTTTAAAGTGATCAAAAAAAGAGAAAACAACAAACCCAAATAGGTTTTATACGTGCTTCTCATAGGACCATGCTCAGATCTTCTCCTTTCAATGCTGAAAGTAAGAACCAGCATCCAGGTTCCATCAAATTTGATGCAAGTGTGAACTGCAATGTTACAAATACTGTAAAAATGAGTGTTGCAGTAGAAATGCTGGCAGGTTCATTTTGAAAACACTGCTTTCCTCTTGCAAGCAAAATAACAAGCAAACTTATTTTGGAATATGCTCATAGTTCTCTTTGAGAATAAATGAGAAAGTTGTACAAACAAACATGAGATAAGTGAAAAATGGCTGTTGCTGCAAGAGGACGGATGTTTTTATGTGTAAATTACTACACTGCAATGAACAGAACAAACAAGAGGCTTGTTTTTTAGAATTACTGATGTTTTCCTGAGCTGCCTTAGCCTGTGTGTGTACAATAGCTGGGTCAGATTGCTGTAGCATGCCCATGTGCATGAATATTAACAGGGAACATGCTCAATAAAGGCTTTTGGTCACTTTCTCTCTGAACTTCAAGTTGGTCACATGGCAAGGCAAAAGGCAAAAATGAGTGTTTTAAGCCTCAGACAACATTTTGTTTATCTTCATTGTCTGATTGAAGTCTAGTCCTTCAAGTAAGTCAAAAGCCAGGTGGTTGGAAAGCATTTCTTTGAATGATGAAATGAATGTAGGAATTGTATTCATAAATAATTAGTCCTTTTTGTTTTCCTTTCGTAGGGAAATTGCTTTTACTAGGCAACTTCATGAGAAAGCTCCTGATCTCTGTTTTTATTATATGGGTTTCTACATTCATTCGTGCCCCAAAATGCGCTACAAGGTAAAGTGTGTTTTTACTTCTTTCCTTTGTGTACAATTATTCAAAGCATTTGACAGTTCTCATAGTAGCATAATATTTTTGTAATTGTCACTTTGGATTTCAAAATAGACTTTACGTGGTTAAATGTGGACGCTGGTTACTCTTTAACTTGACTTAGGATTATTTATTTCTTTTAAAGTTTAGCCGCATGTGGTATTTATTACAAGTTGGCTTAAAAGCTGTTCACTTGGAGAGATTTTCAAGGCTGTCAGATAATAGTTTGTCATTTGGTTACCTGGGTGTCTCGTGTTTACGGTATATTTGCCAACAGACTGAAATTCTCCCTTCTTTGGGTTTGAGTGAGTATTTGTGGAGCTGTTGCTTAGTGACCGTAGGCAGAGATAGCATGACTTCCTGGGGCTTACTCTGCAGATAAAACTATGAGAAGCCAGATTGTTAGGAATTTTGGATCGAGTAGCAAAAAGGGTGAGGAGAATCCCAGAACATTTGGCACAACCAGTCTGTCATCAAATCTGCTTTGTAATCTCTGTTAGCCTCAACTTTATGTAGACCTATATGCCCAAGGGTCCATCTCTTCTGTTTGTTAGATCTCATCTATTCTTCATGAAGATGCCATTGCTTTTTCAATATTGCTGCACAATATCAGAGTAGTGAAAACTGATAGAAATTTGAACGTCTACAATGATGTATGTTAATAATATGGAAATATAGAAAGCAAATGAAATCTAGATCAAGAGTTCTTAGTGTTTTCTTCTTTTGTCCTCAAAACGTGCTAAAAACCATTTTCAGCTTGCTTTCAAATAACCAAAAAGCAGCTGTGCTCATTGAAGTAATGGTTGTGAAAGAAAAGCCTAAAAACTGAAACAAATTGTGAAGTCAAGCAATGAAATGCTTCTGGATAATGCTATTGCCATTGTGAAGGGGTTGGTTGAGCAGAGTAGGGAAGAATTGACTTCTTTAACCTGCCAATTCAAGCAACACCAGCTTGGCTTAGGGCATTACATGTTGAAGGCATTGCCTGGTTCTGGTTTAAAGGGATGTTAGAGGCTCCCTTTCCTTAGTGACTGGGAGAAGGAAAGGCTGTAGGTAAGTGTTACTGAACAAGTGCCATACAAGCAAATTAAATGGGTTAAAGAGCTAACCACTGTTTGTTTTCTGCTTGTCATTTTCTCTGCCACTTGTCTGTGCTTGGATGGTTAGGAATGGAGGCCAGGGACAGCATCTTTCTATAAGCAATATGTTCTAAGAACACACATGTTACATTGGATTACAGTGACATCACAGGATTTGGGAAATCTTAGGAAATTTCCCTTCAAGCCACAGGTTATGATCAGTAGAAATGCCTAAGCTGACATTTTGATTGAATTTTTTTTTTTTTTTAAGAATGCTTCTGGCAAAAACACTTAAGCCTGAATACTGGTTTCCACCATACTGTCTTTTGGAGCTCACGTTTGTCAGTCTGAATGCTTGTGAAGCTGCCTTTTTTTCCTGCTGACAGGGGATGTGTGAAAAAACAGTGACTTGGTGATGTTGATTTAAGGAGTTTGACAGGGTTCCACTTTGCATTAAGTCAATCTCAGTCTCCTGCACAAGACCTGGCTGAAATAATTGGGGATCTGTGCAACGGACTGTTCTGCTCATTTATGTTATAATCAGAGAGTGATGAATTAATGTTGTCTGCAGAAGGACATAGCAGAATGCTTTAGTTTTAAATACACCACTCCTAGCTTGGAGGTATAGATACCTAGCAGCAAATGTCAAAGTCTTGTTCTACATGAGTACTTCCTTGCAAATTACAGACATCTCCTCTCCGATCAGCAGTGCAGCTGTTGGATGGGTGGCTGCTGCTGAGCACGTTGGGGCAGAACTCAGCTTGTTTTTGGTGGTCAGCCTGTGACATTTTCATCTTCTGCTTCTACAAATGATACAATTTTTGATGTAAATGGTGTGTGATGTGATGTCCAGTGAAGATCAGGGGCCTGAATGTCATGGAAGAGGATCCTAAAGGGGGGGGAGGAATCCAGTGGCTTGAGAATAGGGCTGAGAAATGTTGAATTATCAGCAGCAAGCTTAATGGGGGTAAAGAGCATCACCCACCACAGTGGATCAGATTGGTAATTACACGAGTCTTGAAAAATGAGCTTTCTTTTGACTCCTTTCCTTTCTGTGCCTTTGGTTCCCAAGCAGCTTGCATTTGATTGCAATGGCATTTTCTGTAATGGCAGAGAGCCAGGGAAACTGCAAATGGGGAAAGGAATATATCACAATTTTAGGCTAGTTTTTAGTTCCCAGCTCTTCCTAGACTTGTTCCATCAGTGGGGTAATATTTGTGTACCAGTACAATAAAATATACATTAAATTGAGACAAAAGGATTTCTGTAGTTCTATGAACTATATTAATATGGAAAAATATGATGAAAAACACAAAGCAATGGCTTTATTCCATTTTTTGGAGGGGAGGATAGATCAGCTACATACAAGATTAAAATGGTTCTCTGTTAAAATTCATGACCTTGTGGTTAAACTCTTCAGGCTTTGTTAGATGTGGTAGTTCTTAGGTTGGGAAAATAGTGTTCTGGAAAAATTTCCAGCACTTGTAAGATGCAAAGTCTTTTTCCTAATGCGTTCTGGAGCCTGTGTTAAAACTTGAAGTACAAGGAGGTGTTTTGTTTTAGGATAATGTTGGACTCACGATTGCTTCTCAAGTGTTTACATTCTGTATCTAATTTTAAACGTATTTTCAGCTGAAGACATTTGTTTACAAACAGATTTATAAAATTTCAGAACTAAACCAATGGCCACATCAGAGAGATAGTTGAGAGCTTTTGGATTGTTTTTATTGTGCCAAGCTTCTGTCTGATTTATCCCACAAATTTTTTTTCTGTGGTTCTATGTTATTAAACTTGCATTCTCCAGTTGCTTCTGAGCTCCCTGTAATGCTAATCTAATTTCTGGTCTTTCTGTCGTAGCTCTTTGATACCGATTTTGAGTCTGTTGGTGGGTGACACCAGACAGATTTTGTTGGTAGTTTGCTACCTGAGTTTCTCTACTTCTGGTTGTGGCTGTTTTGTGATTTATTATTTTTTTTTTAAAAAGCATTTTCAATGTCAATATTTGCATACAAACAGTGCAACTGGGGCACCTACTGTCTGTGGGTTTGGCCAACCATCCCCTTGCCCTGACACTGCTCCATGAAGTCAGTAAATAAATAACATCAGCAAGCTTTGAGACCCAGTGCCTCCTTGCCTCACTATCTGTGTGCTATTTGAAGACTGTTCTGTGATTTGAAGAGATGTTTTGACTGAAATCTTTATCCAGACTTGTGTGCTGGCCAAAGTAAATGGAATTATTTCAAACAGTCTACTTTGGTATCAAGGCATGGCCAGACTTCAGATAGATGGAATACTAGAAAGGGCTCTGAAATGTCAAAAAAGAAACAAAAGGCTGATTCATCTGTGATTAATCTTTCTTGAACTGAATACCTCAGGCTGACTGCGGTCGTAAGTGGTGCCCCTGGAATTTTATAGAGCTCCAGAGCCAATTTCTTTGGCTCATTTTAGGAATTTCAGCATCACTCCTTCCGTAGCAGCAGCCTGCATCTCCAGCTCCCATGTTGGTCTGCCTCCCACCTGGGGCTTTTTCACCCTTCCTGGCCATTGGAACTCAGTTAACCTTTTCAAAAAGCCTGGATTTCCTGCATAGGCTGAGACATGCAGAGGAAAGTGACTTACTGCAATGCATCTCAATAGAAACCTCTATCATTTCTGGCTGTAAGCACAAGCTGCCACAGTTCTGCCACTGAAATAGCTTTGAAAAGCATCATTTAGAAAAAGCTGGTGTAGGTATACCTCTGTGCTCCATCTTTTTATTTAGCATGTATTAAAGCTGCCACCAGCTGTAAGCCTGGTTTTCTCCATGCTGTTACTATTAACGGTGGGAACAGACGATGAATCAAATTAGGGAATTGGTCTTGCTTTGCTTGGGTCTGTTTGCACTGGTACTAGTTGCTTCTCCGGGGTTAATTTTGCTCATAGGAATACCATACATAGAAATAAATTCAAAATGTGTTTACGGGTAGGTCATGTATAGTCAACCAAATATTCTGACAAGGCAGTATTTATTACGGTTCACTAAGTAGTTGTATGCAATGCCACTTTTTGGTAAAGATTGTAAATACATAGGTTGAAAAGCTGATGTATACTCATAAAGAGCCATACAGGTTTTGGCAGTGCAGTAGTTTTGGGGTGTTTTGTTTTCTTTTGTTTGTAAAACTGTTTAAGAACACACAAGATAGCGAAAAGCAAAGACTGAAACATGTATTAATAACAACTGTAAAATAATCTGAAAATGATAAATTGCAGAATGGAGTAAAAAGTCTCCCTGCTTTTCAATGGCATTTAGCTTTGGCTTGTTAATACAGTTTTTAGCCACGTTACTTGTACTTTCCTTCCACTTCTCCATGGGACTTCCTATGTGGTCAGATTGCTGCTCTGTGTTGGTATCAGCAGCTGAAACCAAGCTCTCGTTTTCTTGGAGCTATGAATGTGCTCTGTGTGTTCCTTCTAATGGTTTGGGTTAGTGACTGCAGGGGAAAAAGACCACTCTGAGTTATGGCTTGGCTTTTGGCATTCAAACCCAAAGGGATTCTCTAGAACTCCTTTAAAATGGCTGGCCAAGACTTGCAATGGTGTTTGAGATGATGAACTCAGCTGCGGGGGAAGAATTTTAAAGGGATTTCTCTTCAACTGTGTGTGTGCTGAATGCTTTTAAAAATCAAATTGCCCTAGTATTCCTTCAGGATGTAACTAGTGCAAAAAAATCATCATCTACATCTATATTACCCAAGGTGTTGACTTGAAGATTGGTGGTCTTTTATGAACCAATATGTCACATGTTGTTATATTCATACTGCAGTGTCCCTTAGAGCTTGCTGTTCCCCTCTTTTATTTTTACTGTTTTTCATTTGTTGCTTTCTTCCATAAAAGCTTTTTCCTTGCACT